GAATGTACAGTAAACGATACACATATATATATGGAAAGTACAGACACTACTGTGCTAGGTGTCCGAAACTTACATGGCATTCGTCGCCACAATAGATCCTCTGCTCACAGGGGCAACTCAGGGTGGCTTCTCTGCCTCGACATCCGTCACACAACGGAATAGTATCAGTATGTTGCCCTCGCACTACACCCTTGGAGACAGTTTCTCGAGCGTCCAACATGGTATCCAAAAATATGATTGTGTAGTTATATATATCTACGCCAAGATGCAATGTATTTATGTATACATACATGTGTGCGTTCACGTATCTACGAAGACGTAAGCATATGTTGTCAAGAGATGTCGGAATCTTGTAAGGGAGTACCTAAGCAGTAGATGCCCTAGTCAACGAAACGTGTGACGAGACAGTTACCGTGTCGATCATCGTAAAACAGTCCACAACTTGTCTCTGTAGTCTGAAGTATATACATAAAAGATATATGATCCAAGCAAGACGAAGTGCCGCGTATATATACTCTCTTTTTTTTTTTGGCTATTTTAAAAAACACAGTCCTTTTGAATACATAAAAATACGAATATTTTATACATGTGTCGTGTATTTTATACTTTTTCTTTTTTTGCTATGAAAATTATATTTAGAGTTGTTGGGAGAGACTTCGACTGTGGCGGTGTGGCCTGGGCCCTGGGGGTCAGTGGGACAGTTGGTCCGGGGCTCTGGCCTCTGGACTCTGGAGTCTGGCCCAATATGTATCGCAAAATATTAAAAAAATAAATACTTCATTTGTGGAGGGGTATTTCAAAATCAGCAAAGTTTTGGCGGGGTTCTCAAAGTTTTGGCGGGTTTTCTATGTACACAGCCGCGAGAATTGGACATAGGCTGTAGCGGTGTAGACGTGAAGTACAGTAGCCTGTAATAAATATCTCACAGACAAGAGATTGATTACTATATTTACGACAAAATAATTTAAAACAAAACACCGATTTAAAATATTACCGAATTAAAAATAAATAGCTCAACGCAGTGCTGCGCGCAGCGGCCATTGAAATCTCCCTCCCTCATTCTCTCTCCAGAGTCCAGCCTCTCTTCTCATCTCTACCCTCTCTCTGACTCTCTCTACTATTTAGAAATTTATATATCGTTGAACCCACACATGTGAGACGACACTTCATGGGAAAAAATGTATCTTATAGTACATACAATCCTCAAACCAAACCCTCGAATGAGGGCGCAGTGACACAAAATGTGCACGGTTGCTTGCCTAAGTGGATGTTTCCTTGTAGACATGCATGTGTGCTTGCTTGCCTGCAAGTTTATATATACTTCGTGGGACCAGTTCCCACGTGAGCGTATGTGTGTATTGTAGATAGTGAGCGTTGCGCCTTGCTCACCGGGCCCTTCTAGGGTGTTAAAACTAACACTCCTA